TACCTCATATCGCCTGGGCGAACTTCCACTTGAAGATCCTTTAGATACTCTGCTCTCAGTGAAGTTGGAATCACAAGTGGATGTGTCTTGAATATCAGGCCATCTTCAACTGCGAGTTCTTCACAGTAATTCCAATAATGTTGCAATCGTTGTGGGAGTTACTTCCTCTTAAGCGGCCAGCCGTGAAAGATGTAATCCCTTACCTGGTTCAAGGCCGAATCAGCAGTGATGGCAACTCTGGTTCTGTCAAGTCAGTTGTCTGTAGTTGGAGCGTTTGAAGTGATGTGGTACACTGGAATCACATCCATCTGCTTTGAGTCCATAGGTTTTGGACTGAGAGGGTCGACTCGACTAAGAGCGTCTGCAATTGAGTTGTCCTTCCCACAGATGTACTCGATTTTAATTTCGTATATTGCAAGCCTCAGAAGAAGTCGTTGAAATCTCGGGCTGGTAGGGGCAATACTCTTCTTCCAAATCGTTGCTAGAGGTTTGTGATCTGTTTCAACTCTGACTGGTTCACCATACACATAGTTATAAAGCCTCTCCATGGCGAACACCACTCCTAGCAATACCCTCTCGATGTTGGTATAGCGTTCCTCGGCTGGAGTGAGAGTTCTGGATACGTAGATCCCTGGTTTTCCTTCTTGCAGCAATACGGCACCCAGCCCTTTTATTGAAGCGTCAGTCTGAATAATGTGCTCTGCTTTCCGGTCCAAGTACGCGAGTACTGGGGTCCTGGAGAGCTCTTCTTTGATGGCATCGAAGGCATCTTGATGGGAAGAGTCCCAGGTCCATTCCGTTTCTTCCCGAGGCAGTGATCTGAGTGATTCGAATAGTCTCGTCAACTTGGTTGAGTAGCGTTTCAAATAATTGACCATTCCCTGGAAACTCTGTAGAACTTTCTTGTCTTTTGGGGCTTTCATCTGTTTGACGGCCTCAACCTTTTTGTCGTCGCTCTTCATACCCTCTGGCGTGATAATCTGTCCGAAAACTCACACTTAGTTGTTTTGAACTGCAACTTCTTTGGATTGAACTTAATTCCGTTCATTCGTGCTGTTTCGTGTAACTGAAGTAGATTTACGTCATTATCCTTGGAATCCACCCCTCTCGTGAGGATGTCGTCAATGCATCCCGTGATTCCTTTCACTTCTTTAAGGACTACATTCAACCTCTCCTGAAATACGTTTGCGCTGACTTTAAGAACAAAGGGAAGTCGGAGCCACTTGTATTTCTCCCATGGAGTGTTGAAGGCAGTTTAAACTGAACTTTCATTGTCCAATTCTACCATCCGGTAGTCCGACTTGGCATCAACAAGCTTAAAATATTTTCCTCCGTGGAGTTCAGCGCTAACTTCATCAATAGTCTTCGTGTAATACTGGTTCCTTTTGATGCTCTTGTTAAGGTCCTTTGGATCTAAGCATAGTCTAATTGATCCATCAGGCTTAGAGACAGGAACGACTCTGTTGATCCAGTCTGTGTGTCCCTGAACTGGTTGAATGATTCCCGAACTGCACAATCTCTCAAGCTCTTCTTTGTATACTGCTTTCTTTTTCTCAGGTACTGCTTGTGGTGGATGTTGTACAAGTTGTGCGTCTGGCTTGAGTTGGATGTGATACTTGCCCCCTGGTAGTTTTCCTATACCTTTGAATATGGATCTCTGAATTCGGATAATACGTACTCCTTTGTCGGGGGAAAATAGTGCCGTTATCCAACACCTCACATATAGGCTTGCTAACCTTACTAGTCGCAGAGCGTTGACACTTGTATGGATTTGCGGCATACTGGTTAAGGAGGGCGGGGTTACCTCTGGAAAGGCAATGTACCCGACTTGCTGGGCTGTAAATTCGTGCAATCAAATTAAATTGCGCGAGCCGGCGTCAATTTCCCCTTGTGCACGCCGGTGAGTTCAGCAGACAACTGTCTCGCGAAGAAATTTTTTTCTCGCGAGTGACTTCGAACAAGCCGATGAAGATCTGTTTACTTTTTCTTTGGGAATAGACCTTTTTACCCCTTAGAAAGAACCAAGAGAAAGGTAAAACAAAACAATCAACGGTTTAATCTCGTTTCGTAACTCTTCATTTCCACGCTTGAATTCATCTGTCAGTTTTTGACCAATCTGAGACAAGATCATTGAAGAATAACGAAATACTTTTTAGAAACAAAATAAACAACGCACTGAAACGTAGGAGATGGAATTTCCGCTCTTTATACATTAATTACCGCGTTGAAAATGTTATAAAACAATTTTTTAATGTGTCAGCTGTGCGTTCAAGAAGACCTGAAGCACTTGGGAAGTTTGGAGAGCACTCAAGAAGCTAGAGTTGCTCTCGGCTGCGCCTCGAGCACCTCTTAGGCATCTTTCGTGCTCTCCAAACTTCCCGCGTGGTTCAAGTCTCGATGAACGCACGCTAACGCATGAACCAATTTGTTAATAGTGATTCTGTACGAAATACCAAATCGTACTTTACAAGTATTGAACCCAATAAACACCAGTAACAGAAACGGAATATTTGACGGAAGAGCTAAGCTTATATATTTAACCTAACTATTTCAGTTGCTTTTGTCAGTATCCTGTTGTTAGCGCAACCTTCGAACTTGTGTTCACGGACATTCTTGATTTTTTTTAGCAAGGGAGGTGTTCGTCCCAGCATCATAGTTTGTTGTTAAATTGGCCGTCACAGTTTTGCCAGTATTTTCGTAGTTTGAACCCACGTATGGCTTATTTGTTATCTCGTGAGAACTAGTGTGAACTTTCCACATTTGGCCAGCTTTCAAGCAATGAAGTTCGTGAACCGGCCCATTCCATTGTTTACGAAGAGCGAGCTCACGACAACACAAGTTGTCGTAGTCTCATTCCCAGTACCCGCGGTTTACGCAAGGAGCGCCTGGGACCATGATCCCCCTTTTGGCGACCAAAACGGCTTCCATTTTCAGACTCGGGCTTTCCTGCGGAAGCCCGAGTAATGATCGAAAAATATCCGTTTCTCGTCTTCTTATGGAAACCTCATGGAAAATTAACTCGTCACGCCATTTTATTGGCAAATGGTCGGTAGATCGGTATCCGCCGCTTTCGCCCCCTATCGAGTTCGGCCCTTCGAGTTCACCCGTAACTTATATCGTGTTCGCCCCCACAATTTTCGAGTTCGACCCCGCCAAGTCGAGTTCGCCCCCAGAATGAGTAATGTACCTTTATTTTTTTTCGAAAATTGCAAACAAGTTAGAACCAAGACAAGTTTTGAATTGTATTTGACTGACGGCCATTTTGAAAGTTCATAAGTGCGCGAGAGCTGGGGCGACTGGAAACAAGGAATAAACAAACCGGAAACAACTATGCTGGAACTTTCGTTGGTCATGACCTTTATAGATTAGGTGGCTCCTAAAGGAGCCGTTTTTTAACTTGACCGAACCCAAAGGCTTAAAATCTTAAAGTCTTAATAATCAAGAGCGTGATCAAATCGTGATTTCGTAAACTCTTCCGTCTTTTTTTCAAAAATAAAGCTAAACGAGGTAAGTATCATTAAAACTGTTACACATTTATTACAAGGCTAAAAACTTAAGCAATGCTGTCGCGATGGAAGCGAGGTTTGCATCTTCTCAGGTCTTGTTGTTATGATCAACACTATGCGATGAAAGTGTGGTTTGGATCTTCTTAAGTCTGGTTGTTATGAGCAATATATTTCGTGTTCGTTAGATAAACCGAGGTTGTTTCACACCTTTTCCGTCCGAATAATAAGTTGAGCAATGTTGCTTTGATTTAAAAGTGCGGTTGCCATTATCACTTACTTCAGTGTATACAGTTGCTTTGGTAACCCTAGATTGCCGAAATTTAAAATGGTCGTTGCTGACTTGACATTTGGCACATTCTGCTAGAACCTTCGTCACAAATCAACTCATTTGGACATCACTCAATCAAGGGGCGAGCTCGACTTGGTGGGGTCGAACTCAAAAGTGTGGGGGGCGAAAACAGTACAAGGTAGGGGCGAACTCGGTAGGGGGCGAACGCGGTGCAATTCGGTAGATCAGCCGAATCAGTTGACAAAGAAATGGAGCAGTATATCGTCTGAGAATTTGGAATTGTTCAAATTCCCATGAAAGAAGGTGCAGCACTCGGAATCTGGATGATATGCACACGATTTAAGCTATATGCTTGTGGATACGTCGGGTAGCCCCGTACAAAGGCTGATGAATTTTTGTGGCTACTACATCCTACAGGAGGCGAAGCCACAAAAGGTGTCGAGATGAGTGAGTGAGTGAGAGTAAATATAAAATTCCCAGTTTGACCCAATTTTGACCCGATCTTTTACAGTGCTACTCAATTTTTTTCTTTTTTTTTTTTGGAGTATCCTAGTAGTTTGACATTAATTTGCACTTGACACAGAGTTCATATTGAGTTCTTTTCCTTTGTGATTTCTGGATTATACTTGAGCTTCATTCACAAATTACCCCCATGAAGAGTAGAGGTCCACAGAGATTTTTACATTTTTAAAAACTAGATATTGTAACCAAGAAGGTGAATTTTTTAGTTCCAGAATCAATGTACTTTGAGAGAAATTCAGATAAGCATTTTCCCGGTTTTACTCTACACCTAAAATGACCAGAACTGTACTGAGATAAATGATTAATCAGTGTCTTTACTTTCGCTATCAGGGAAAATTGAATGTATCGAGTAAAAATGAATGATATCACAATGCATGGCAGAGATACCAATTTGTAATGTCACAGAGAGCTTGAAATAGAGAAATGAACATTTTACACTTTTTTGGCAATGCTTTTGTATATACTTAGTTTAGGCAGCAAACAGTTAAAATCAGCTAAGCTTTGTAATGTGCCATTTTAAATCTAAAGTAATTACAATAATAATGAGAGAGCCAACTGATCATAAAGGGCATTGGTCAATGTTTTACGCAATCAAACTTGAGCATGTGATAAGGTGGATATGAATCCCCTGTGGTTTTATGAACTTCCTCATGATGTATTTTGATGTGATAACCACTTTGCAGGAAAATAAGTAAAGCCAACAAATGTGCTTTTGAATTATCATCACCTAACCAGGACAAAATCTAGTTGACGCCTCCATCTTTCAGTAAGTGACCTACATTGATGTGGTTTTTTTTTCACTTAAGTTTTTGACCAGCTAAAAACTACCAACTTGAAGTTTACACAAGTGATAAACAAATATGATTATGGCTTTCATTGATATTATTAAAAAAGTCACTTTATTTTCCTGAAGGGATGCTTCGGCCACAAATCATTTTTCTGATAGTAATATCATTACTGGAACAATGCTCAGGTATGTCAACACTCTATTTTTATCACCTTCACATAATTAGTGTGTAATAGGTTTTATCAGATGCCTCAAGGTGAGAATTTTTTTAAATGTGATTGGCTAAGACAGTTTACCTTTTGTAATAAATAGAAATTTCCTGTTCATTGCTGAGAAGAATTCTCAGTCCTGATTTCAAATATACCACTACTTTTAGTAATAATTGAAATGATAATAATTCATTATGGCAAATGGATGTTTCTGAATGAAACATACAACTACTTTTAGTAATAATTGAAATGATAGTAATCCATTACGGCAAATGGATGTTTCTGAATGGGTCAAGGGTAACAATTCATTTAAAAGTATAACTATTTTAAATTCGTGTGAATTAAGTTCATTTAGAAAATTAATGTTTTTTAACAAATAATTATATCATTTTCTTTCTTTTCCTGTGGACATTTGCTAACAAATGAGGAGGCAGCGTGGCCGAGTGGTTAGGGTGCTGGCCTTGCAATCCAGTGTCCTGGGTTCAAGTCCTCCACCCTGCCACTCATTGGATTTGTTCTCGGTTGCCCCTAGCTCAACTCCTCGACTGCACTCTCCAAATAGCTCACTGGTCTGCCTCCTGCCAGTGGGGATTTTCAAGCTCTTAGTTAGTCTACATTGCAGCTGAGAAGCCCGCCGTTTGGGGGAGCTTCCATTGACATATATTATTATGATTATTATTGTTATTATAGATAAGTGTGATACAATGAAATAAATGAAGTTCATATATTTTGAACTGCTGTATTAGATACGTATGATGCATGATCCCCGCAGTAGATAGCGCTATTTAAGCAATAGCGAAAATCAGACCTGAAAAAAAATCAGGCCTGTACGGGATTCGAACCACTGACCTCTGCGATACTAGTGCAGCGCTCTACCAATTGAGCTAACAAGCCAACTGGGAGCAGGCCGTTAAGTTGATTCGTAATAAACCCGTGAAAGTGATAAATCAGATACAATGAAATATATGAAGTTCATATATTTTGAACTGCGGTATTAGATACGTATGATGCACGATCCTCGCAGTAGATAGCGCTATTTAAGCAATAGCGAAAATCAGACCTGAAAAAAA